ATTAGGTTAAGGGTTAGGTTTAGGTTATGGGTTAGGGTTAGGTTTAGGTTAAGGGTTAGGGTTAGGTTTAGGGTTAGGTTAAGGGTTAGGATTAGGTTTAGCGTTAGGTTAAGGGTTAGGTTAAGGGTTAGGTTTAGGATTAGGTTTAGTGGGGTTAGGTTTAGGGGTTAATTTTAGGTTTAGGGTTTGCAGCGTGCTTCTGTCTCCGCGCTTTTGTCGCTCTGTTGATGATGTCAGCGGCGCGGTTTAGTTGGGCGCGCTTTAGTCGAGCGCCGTTTTGTGGTGGAACCGATTAAACAACTCTCAGCAAAGTAGAAGTCAAAATATAGACACACGAGTGATCCACGATAACCGAATTACAAAAAAATGATAACTCCCAATAACATAAAGACAGACAGGCGTTCCTTCAATAAGCTACATTTTAAAAGACTTCTGGAAGAGCTCTGATTTAATATGCTTCCGAAATGAGACAGAGGTTAATCTAGCTTCTCATTACTGAGAAACATTTCCTGCTGGCCTCAATGCCCCTAACTTCACGGCACTGGAGAACTACACAGCATTTTTCCAGAAATGTTCTTATTGGGCTATCGATTCTTAGCCGAAGGAGGTGACCCTTAGGGCATCTCAGTACCAAGCCAACCACAGTTTTATAGATTAAAAACAACAACACTTTAACTAGAAACCTGTTAGAAACAGATTTATTAGCCTCATGCAGCAGTTATGATGTGAGGATGTTCTCCATGGCTCCGGGCACTTCATCAGTCTTTCTGCTGGCAAAAACAGTATGGCATAAAATCGTATTGCCAATCTGCCAGCAGGTGGGGGTGTCCATATTTGCTGTGTGCAGGGCAGCTTAAGGAAAGAGAGCGTGTATAGCGGGGGTAAAATGCTACCAGTTCGGACCAATTCACCTGAACCGGTAGTAAAAAATGCTACCGGTTTGGGTGAACCGGTATTTCCGACGATCAGCTGGGTGATGATCAGCTATGACACGCAATTTATATTAGCTAGAATCGTTGGATTTCCTGCTTTCTAGTCTATATTGCGTGGCACAGTGGATTCCCCCCCCCCCCCGGGCAGTTCTACTTACCTTAGCCTCGGAAGGCTTCAAAATGTTCCATTTTTTTAGTGCTGCGTGGGCACACCTGAGGCATGCATGCGCACAAAGCGTGCACGCGGTAGCAGACTCCTCGAACCGGTGGCATACTTCAGAGAATTACACCGCTGGTGTATAGTTAGTCCTCGACTTATGACCACAATGGAACCCAACATTTCTGTTGCTCAGCAAGGCAGGGGTTAAGTGAGTTGTGCTCCACTTTACAAAGTCTTTTTTTCCCCGCCACAGTTGTTATGTGAATCACTCCCAAGCGTTAAGCAAATCATGCAGTCGTTCAGCGAATCTGGCTTCCCCCNAGGGAATGGAGAGTTTACAGTATCCTTCCCCTGCCTCACTCACCAAGCCATCCCACACCCACCAAGTCACGCCCACAGAACCGGTAGTAAAAAAAAATTGAATCCCACCACTGGACAGGACCTCTGATGATTAGATTAGAGTTGACAGTTAGGAAAGGACAAATTATGCCAGCATATTTTTTGTCAACTCATGGATAGCAGGAATGCATATTAGTATGGTTATGAAGAAGGGTGTGTTTGTGTGAATGCTGGCTCTTAACCAGTCTCTTGAGCCATGGAAAGAAGGATTAATTCCCAAGCTTATACTTTTCAGCTTTCCTCTGCCTTGAGCAGAAGATTAACTGTCTGTTGAGTCTCTATTTTTATTTCTCTAAGTTCTCTGCCTTTAGCTGAATTATGTGTATACTCCATTGAAGTATAAATGGACCTCAGCAACTTTGCTAGTCTCTGTCTTTGCTAGTTTTCATCTCCCCTCTTTCTGCAGTTGGTTTAAAATGTGCTGGCTGCTGTATTCAGTTGGATGCTCATAGTACTATTAACAATTTGTTGGGTTAAAATTCCTGTTTCAACCTGTCCATGGTTAATTGTCATGACTGATTGTTATGCAATTATGTGGTTGCCTTATATATCAACTATTTATTTATTAGCAGCAACTGTACTCATTTTTGGACTTAACAATACTATTCTCCAAAGCACCTGAGGATAGGACAA